AGTGAAGCTAAAGGATAGGCCACAGTTTCTCCTTGGAGAAACAAATAAAAGAGTGGGAATTGTTGGTTTTATGATACACCCAATACCACCTTCTTTGAAGATACAATTGGCAGTCTTGCCCTTATATGAGAGCAAACAACAAGACCATCACTATGATAAGTACAGCTTTTGCACCAAGATGTTGTAGAGTAGAAAGCTGTAGGAGAAGTCTATCAAAAAATCCACAAGATCTTTCAAATCTAATCAACGTAACAGATTGAAACTCAGCAACTTTAACACGTACAAGAGCGAATGACAAAAAGTATGCTAGAAAACTGCAGTTAATAATTAAGAAATGAAAGTGTACAAAGGCTTGTAGTGTATTTGGAAATTTCATTCTGGTATATAATGAATACTTTCTTCTAGAAGAGAAATGAATCACTAAATATGGTGAGAAAGAAACATCATAAAAAGAAATGGACTATATCTAACAGACAGGGACCAACTTGTAGCCAGCCTTAGAATTTAACTTTTTAAAACTGGCCTATGGCTTTGTGTTGTTATGAGGAGGGACATTTCTGCATAAGTAAACTGTCAAACTAAAAGGAAAGACAGTTTTGCTTTTTAGCTTGGTCTGAGGGAACAACTGTTCACAAAGCAAAGTAATTCTATAATAGTACAAGAGTTCACTGAGTATTGGGGTGCTTTTTTAATTGTTGTTTTATTAATTTTATCAATATTATTTGAGAGAATCCTCATCAGCTAAGTAAGCAATCAAAGTCAAGCTTAGACCAAGTGCTAGAAAACTACTGGAGGATACTGTACATCATAAATTATTTTAATATAAACACCCTTCAAAGTTGCTTTTATCATCTAATAAATGCTTTAAAATTCATTACCCATGGCATTAATGGGTAACGAAGCACCTGGTACTAACCTAAACTAGGGAAATATTATTTTAGCAGTTGTTTAGACAAACATAAAATTAGCAACTTGCATGGTATTAAAAATACTACAAAATATCTTTGATTTTCAGGGTAGAGCTCCCTCCATTTACACAGATCACAACTACTCCATATCTTATAAACGATTTCATGAGTTGGTGCAGCCAATCTTCTGGAGATGAGATTTTCAAAATGTAATTAAGTCTGTTCCTGAGCAATATTCCATTCTTGGGCCTGTATTCAAAGCCTTTTTACCTTGAGAAGCCCTGCAATGTACTATATTAGTTTTTGAGCTCTCAAGATCACTTCCATACGAATATGAGGCAGCTTTAGAGTAGGACATTAATGTATAACATTACATTAGAATTAAAAGTTATACTGTGAAAAAACAAACACTTTCTTTTGGCAGAAAGTTAGGGCCCCCTGCTAAATGGAAAAAGCATTTCAATAGAAGCTTTAAAACAGTTACTTACCAAGGTCATCACAGAGCTATCAATGAAATCATTAAGATTTATCAGGCTGGGCCTTGATATAGTCTTTCATGTATAAATAAGGAAGACTGAGAATAGCTTTGTGTCTAGCTAGGAAACTCTAATCAATAATCTAATTTAGGAGTCTTCACTCAGTTCCTCAAAAAAAAAATTATGAATGCATTGATAATTTAGTATAAATGCAGTTAGAGGAATTTTAATCAAACAAATTTACACAAAAGCAAACAATTATTATAATAAAACATTTCCTAGAAAATATTATGTATCTCATTAATAAATAATTTTATTTCTTGTTTTCACTACTTCTACTTAAGATAAATACACTGTAATACTACTTTATTAAGCAAACTTAAGGAATCTTAGATTTAAGGAAAATGCTTATTATAAGAAAGGTTACATGTACATTTTAATAGGCTTTAAAAATATTTAAAAAACAACAAACTGCACAACACAGAACTAAGTGAACTACACTAAGAGCTGGCAGGTTGAAGTATGCTCTACCCAATAACAAGTATTTTAAAGCAGTTTCCATGATGATGAAATCTTTTATTTTTGAAAAAAATTTTTTTTGAAAAATTCGGTGCTTACTCTGTCCAAGGCCTTGTACTAGGTATTGTGTATACAAAGACAGATGTGACAATTGTCATACTCTAGGAATTTACAGTCTAATGATGGGGTTTGGGGAGAATACACATATATAGATAAATGATACCTGGAATAGTGAGCTAAGTACAGGGGAAGGTGAAGACAAAATGTTAAGAATCAACTACAGAAGGAAACATCACTTTTACTTTGTTAGGTAAAACTAAAGGAATGACTAGATTCTGCGTGGCCCAAAAGGCGATGGGTTAGCACAGGCTTTTGTTTTTGTTTTGCATAAATCATTTTCTTTCATCTGTGCCACTATCTAGGTTTTCCCCTCACAACATCAGAATTTGGTTCTAGTCTAGGTCTCCCCTCCAAAAAAAATGGAAAATAGGTCTCAGCTCCCATACAAGAATCAAGGCTATCATACCATCAAATATAAAACAAGCTTCATTTAGCCAGACCTCAAACCCCAAAAGACGAAAACATTCATTCATACCCAAGCCCACAAATTGTCAAGACAACTCTACTTCCTGTTACCATAGTCGTCTACCTCTCTTGGAGGGCTACCCACAAAGTAACGAAGGCTTCTAATACTAATCTAGATCTAAGATTCCCTACTAAAAACAAGTAATTGTTTTGACGAAAAGAGGCAGCCATTCTACCTCTGAGGAGCCCTTCCTTTCAGATATATCTCTAGACATAGAAAACTAATCTGGCTGACCTCCTCCACTGAGAAAAGCTGTAAGAGTTTCTAGAGAGTCAAAAATCTATTCTTTTGAGTGAGTTCCACCTTCCCAGACATCTATACAGTCTTCTAGCTCTCCTATTCATGTCTAGTAGTATAGCTTAGCAATGAATTTCATGAATAATGCATATAACCTAAGGAAAAAAGATGATAAACATTATGAAGGTGGGGTTAACTCAATGAATACCAGGAAAAGGCAAGTTCACAGCTTGACAAGAGTTAACTCTGCCACGACAATTTCACTCCTTAAAAAGTCATCATAAATAACAGAACAAAGTTCTTATCAGTGGGGAATAGAGATTGTTATATAATGTATAGGAAATTTCACATGCAGCCCAGGCTTAGTGCTGGGGCACAGACTCTACAACTGCAAAACCAAAAACATAAGCAGATAGTTTAAAAAAAACAAATTTATTTAATCATGTTCCTGCATTAGTTAATATAATGGATGACATTATAGAATCCATTCTCAGTTTAGTGATTTTAACTAAATAAGTTTGAGTAACTTATGCCAACAACAATTTTTATTCAAGGGTGACACTCTTCTTAGCTAAACTGATGTGTTTTTTTTACAGTATGTTTGTAAGAAAAAAAGGTTTTTCAAAATAGGCAAAGCAATTTAAAAATAGACAGCTGGTGGCAGAGTGGATAGATCACTGGGCTGGGAGTTAGGAAGACCTTAGTTCAAATCTGGCCTCGTGAACTCACTAGCTGTGAGACCCTGTGCAAGCAATTTAACTTGTTTGTTTCAGTTTTCTCAACTATAAAAAGGGGATAATATTAATAGCATTTGCTTTGCAGAGTTGTCGTGGGGTCAAATGAGATAATATTTATAAAAACTGTTTTGGCACTGTGCCTGACACACAGTAAGCACTATCTAAATGTTTACTCCCTTCCTTTGCCTCTCCCCTATCATTATGTTGCATAACACTTTAGTTCCATTCAAGCCCAGATAGCTCCCTTGCAGAAAGGCCAAGTGGAGAACAGAGTGCTTGCCTTTGCATCAGGAAGCCTTGCCTCTAACATTTGCTAGCTATGTGACCTTGGGCAAATGATTTTACTTCTATAAGTCTCTGTTTCTTCATAGGTAAAATGGGGATAATAATAGTACCTCTCTAAGGGTTGTTGTGAGGATCATCCAGGTTCATTTAGGTAAGGCAAACCTTAAAACCTTATAAAAATGTGAGCTATTATTACTATGTAGCTAACCTTAAATACAATAACATGAGAATAAGATTCATATTATCAAATAAACATAATTTTTTCCCTAACAGAAATATTCACTCCAATACTAGTGGAGCATATTATAATAACTAACATTTGTATAGCATTTTAAAGTTTGCAAAACATTTGAAATACGCAACCTCAATTGATCCTCACAACTCTATAAGGCAGAATATTATATATAATAATTATTATTATTATATATCATCATTTTCATTGTACCAATGAGAAAACAGGACAAGAAAGCATAATGACTTGCCAAGGGTCTGAGGGAAGATTCCTAGATATTCAGCTGAGGTCTTCCTGACCCCAAGTTAAGCACGCTGTCTCTGCCACAGAGCTATCCCATGCATGTGGAGGATATACCAAAACAGAATAGGATTCCCTGGTTTTGGCCAAGTAAATAAGCATTCAAGAAAAACACAGGAAAAACTCCAAAATAGTCACATCAAATCAATTCAGGTTAAAAAAATAGCATTACTGATTTCTAAAATATGATTTGTAAAATAGTTTTACCAAATTCAAAACATTCTTATAAAAAAGTATAATTTGATTTTTATTTCTTTTAAACAATAAAAAATATTTAAAATTTTGGTTAGTGGAGGCCATTATCATGCAACTGGAATAATTTATGAGAAATCTGTTTAAAACTTAATAAAAGAGTTCTTAATTTAGCATTCTGTGTTTCACAATCTGTTAACATGATTATCACACGTTTAAATGAATCCAATATTAAGCAAACATAAAATTTTGCATTTTTCTTCCTAAAGCAGCACAATGCTCAATTATTTATCATCCTACGGAACCAATCAGTTAAATAAACTATACCAGAATAAAGTTAACAGAAACATCTGAAAAGAAAATGGTTCAACATGTTCCCCCCAAATGGTTTAAAATTACAGTGTACTTTAGCAAAGCAATATTTCTAAACAAGGGACCTTAAACGTTCTTCACATTTAAGTACACTTTGATGAATACTTTACATTATTTAAAATGTTTTGATAAATTTGGTATTGTTTCTATACATACCTGATGCAATGACAGGCTCTTTCATTAGTTCCCTAGTTATTGGACATAGGAATTCATCTGGGATTCCAGAAGAAAGGGCTTCCACCTTTACTTTCAGCTCTTCAATTTTCCTCAATATTTTACTCCGCAGACCAAGAGATTCTGAAGAAAGATTAAAACTGTTAAATTCAGCTGACTGACTAGGCAAGATTTCACTTAAAGTAACCAAAAATCTTCAGATAATACTTTGTCTTTTAATTAAGTCTCTTTTTAAAAAAAAGAAATAACATTTTAATGTATTTTCAAAGACTACATTTTTGTTTACTTAAAGTAAATTAGGGGGAAGGTAGGTGGCACGGCGGATAGAGCACTGGCTCTGGACTCAAGAGGACCTGAGTTCAAATCCAGCATCAGACACAAAACACTCAGTAGCTGTGTGACTATGGGCAAGTCACTTAACCCCACTGCCTAGCAAAAAACAAAAACAAACAAAGTTAGAAGTAGACACTGAATGGCTGTTAGAAGAGTTTATTTTTAAAAGTCTTAGACTTCAAAAATTCCTAAAATTTCAAGTTGCCCTAAAGAACATACAACAAAAATTAGAATAATTCAAATTTCTTTATTCACAAAATTAAACACTTCCCAAATATGGTTATCAAGATTTAAAAGTGTTGGCATCACTCTGAAAATTCCAAGTACAATACAGCATTATAATGGATATATATATTTTATATTATTTTGCATGATTATCTACACTGCTCATTTATCTGTCATACAGCATGATCAGACAAAGTAAAGAAGAAAAGTGTAAAAAGGACATTCTGTTGACTTTGCCACTTTGGTTTTTATAAAAGTAGATCTTACTGTTGCTAAGTAGGAAGGAAAAAAAGGTAAAAATACCATCAGCCAGGTTTGTAGAGTGTTTGCAAGGGGAAAAGGAGAAAAATGGGGTGTAAATGGAGGGGGAGAAGGAGAAAGTGAAGTAACTCCCATAAAAGGAATATAAGCTTCTAAAGAAGTAACTAGTAAACTGTTAATGTTGCCTATGAAATTCTCTTAACAGAGCCCCAAATTAAGACCTTAGGATATTTAAAATAAAGCACTAGAAAAAAACAAAGGATTTCTTCATGCGACATGACACTACTTGAAACTATTTCTTCTATGGCTTTATGACCCCATAAAAAATTGCTTGGATTCTCTGTCATTAGTCTCAAGAGGAAAATTATCCTATATAAAAGCATCCTATATAAAAGTCTGAGCTATTCTTTTCTTCTTTAATTTTAAATAGAGTTACTAAAATTCAAGGTTATATACGAAAATGAAACATTACAATCATATACCTCAACTTTCAACAAGTACTTATTAAGTGTTTACTACATGCTAGGCATTAGATCAAATGCTAGGGACACAAAGGCATTATCCTTGCTCTCAAGTAGTTTTAATGGGGGAAGACAACATACAAATAACTGTGTGTGTGTGTGCATTTACACACACAATATAAATAACTGTATATATAACTGTGTGTATCTGGTTGCTCCAGATGATTAATTTAATGAAGCATATTACTGCAGTTCTGTTTGGTAGATGAAACTTTTACTGATTCAACAATTAGTGTTATAGAAACAAAAAAAAATTTAACATACTAACAGCTTTTTGTAGTACATACCTACTACCTTTGTGCATCAAACACCAATGAGAAAACATTCTCCTATTATTTTCATAGGTCAGAGATAAAAGGGTTGAAATTTTTTCCAAAGCTCTGGATGGAATGACAGTATAGATATAGAGCTGGAAAACACCTTAGATGCCAAGTTCAACCACATAATTTAAAAGATAATGAAACTGAGGCCTAGGGAAGCTATATAACTTACCCAAGGTGACAAAGGCAGTAGGTGTCACAGGTTGGATTTTTACTTAGATTCTCTGAAGGCAGAACCAGAGCTCTTTCTACTCTACCAAATAATGATAATTTTTTAGGAGGCTATCTTAAAGTCAATAGGAATGTAAAATATACACAAAAGTACAACACTGAAAAACTTAGAATAATTAACTATCTAAAAGCAAACATCTTTTTGGTGATATTCAACTAATAAAACTATTACTTTAAGATAAGATATCAGGACAATACAGTCTGTTAAATGAAATGGAAAGGTCTATATACTTTCAAGACAAGGTTGCAGAAGAACAATTAAAACAAAGCTGTATTTGGACTAAGAGGAATCTTCTCTGACAGCAACCATCTTGTCATGAAGTTGAGTGCAAAAAAAAAATCTCCCCTGAAAATAATTTTTTTTCTCCATAAGCTCAGTGAAGTAAAAGCAGAGGACACAGAAAGATCTTTATCAAAACCTTAATTTTTCCAAGAACAAAGAAAAGTGAGCCATCGGATTCGCATGTGAAGAATCAATCCATCAAGAACTAATGTATCCCACACTACATTATGGGCTGGGGAAACAAAAGAAACAATCTCTGTTCCCATGGAACCTATATTCCATCAAGAACATGTGCATACTTTGTATAAATATATTAAAATAAATACAAGATAATTATGGCAGGGATGGTTCTGGCAGCTGGGGCAGAAGGCTAAGGAAAGACTTCAGGTAGAAAGTGATCTTTGAGCTGATCTCTGAAAGAAAATAAAGACTGTAGGAAGCATATATAGTGAAGACGTGCATTCCAGAGGAGCACCCTGTGCAAAGACCTGGAGAAAAGATATGAAAGGAAAGAATGGACAAGTATGTGATCTACTGCAATTTTATGTTTATAGCAAGCAACATCCAAACTTGTTAAAGTCACTTCTAAAAATGAATACTATCACTCAAATGTCGGGAAAACCAGCAACTTTGATCTTTACCATCACCAATGCCTACTTGCTACAGGGAAATTTATATTTGTATCAATTTCTTGAAAGAGCTAAGAATGGCCTTAAAGTTTTCCCAAACTGTGTTCAAACACTCCTGTCAAACATCTCCATAGACTCTCTCCAAAATCTGATTTCTCTGTTGAAGGTAATACTTTACCTTATTTAACATGGCAGTAGAAAATGAATTCTGGAGGTAAGAATTTTGTATAATATATTATGACACCATATAATATTTAAAAATTTACAAATGAACTATTACACTGCCCTGTTTAATTGATTTTTTAATGCTATTTAGAAAACTTTATATGATTCAACATAAATTTATACTTAAATTTCTTTTAAATTCTATTTCTGGTTATTTTTCTAAAAAAAATTGTTCAGGATGTGATGATTCTATGTTTCAATGGGAAATCAATTTATGTCATTTCAACTTATAGTGTCTCTTCCAGGTATGTAAACTTCCACAAATATGAGGTGTCTGTATAATTATTAAAATACATATAATACATATATTACGTAATCTCTGCATGGACATCCTCTATTACATGCCAAAATATAGGAGTAATGAGGAGCTGTACCACATGTAATTTATTAGCAGGAGCCCGCAGTGTCAGACAGCAGACATTCACTATGAAGCAATGACTTTCTTCTGGCAAAAAAATAAGCACCACCTCAGAAAGAAACCAATGCCTCTGCTCAGCTAAAAGCATTTTTTTCCAACAGGTGTATGAGTTAGCAGCAGCTCCTTAATATAGAACCTACAAAATTCTCTTTCAAATAAAAAATCTAACATCCAGGTTGTTCAACTCATTTAAAAATACTCTATTTTAAGTGTCAAGCACAACAAATATGCTATTCTGGTTTTTAACAGTTCAGTGCATTCTACTTTGGTGCACAATTAATAAGCTTTCTTCATATGAAGAGTATTAAATGGAATTCAAATATAATCACATTGATGCAGATGCTGTTTTATCTGTTCTGCCACAAAGGAAAAATGTAAAATAGTTCTGCATCTGAGGATTATAAAATGACATCTCATTAGCATATTCCTCATTATCACATTTTGCTGTGCAGCACATTTTTTCAATGCTTAGACACAATCTTAGATCCCATTAGTACATTTTCCTGCAGTGTCTTATTTAGTTTTCTGAAAACTCAAGTACTAATAGAATTTCACTACAGCTTAAAATAGCACCTGTGGAAGATTAAAGTTTAGACACTTAAGAACTTTTCAAGATTTCCAAAATATTGTGGGAAAATAAAATACTTATCCTACTTAGTAAAAGTGCTAAATCTGCTGAGCATGCTAAATTCCTGAGCTTTGTTAACAAATGAACAGTTATATATTTACTGAAATATTTTCAGACAAAATATCACCTACTGCAATTTTCTTCAATGAGACAACCACAAAGTCAAGGTATTAATGAGATATTGCTCAATTTTTTGCTTACATCTGATAATGGCAAAACTCAATTCATTGTACTTTTAAATGAAATTATTTTGTGCCAGATTAGAAATCTTTTTTTAAACCACACTGATGACCTCTTGGCTCTAAAAAAAAAAACCATCTTTTTTTCATTAGAACTTATTACTGCTATATTTGTAACCATCTTTTATAAACTGGAAATGACTACTTTTTCTTGCAAATAATTTTATTTCACATGGTTAACATTAGTGGCTTGCTATGCTACAGTAAAACTCTTGTAATTCAGGACCTACATCATTAGATCTTCAACTAAGTAGACTATATACTCTTATTTTTAGGAGGGAAAGGCAAATAATAAACTAAGATATCACAGTCCAAAAACCAAGTTCCAGGGTATGTTCAAGATTAAAACCTAAAGTTTTAATCTCTTTCTATATCATCCCAAAGCATAGTTGTTTGCTTAAAAAACTATATAGTGAAAGGGGCTCATTCCATTCTGGACAGAAGTGAGTCCAAATCTGCCTTATTATGACTTTTACCTGAGGATAACAGAATGAGATTAATACCTCTTCCACATATTCACATTATAACAATAATGAATTGCAAGATTCTTAATCATCAAACATTTAATTATATTAGTAATTTTCTTATTAATGAGGTAAGAAGATATACTAGTACAATCTAGAAAGATTTTCAACAACAGAAGATTTCTGATTAGCCAGAGTTCCCTCCTGCCCAGGAATTGTGATTAATCAAAACTCTACTCTATAATATGTATACAGCAGGTAACTGAATTGTGCTTGGTTAAAACATCGGATTTGAACTTTAGGTAACAATCCTTAGGTAACCAGAGTCATTCCAATTTGGCCTCGCCTAGCTTAGCCCAACTAGGGAGAGTGAAAGGAGTCCTTACTAAAGTGAGTCTATTTTTGATTTTCATGTATAGACTCATTAAATTGTTTTTTCCACTGACATGCCAATTACACTATGTAGACTGAGGATGTACCAGAATTAAATATTCCTTATTTGTAATTTCAGCTAGTTCTTAATGTTATTACAAATTTCAAATTAAATACATAAATACAACAATACTATATATGTTAGCATATCTAGAGAAAAACAGTTTGACAACAACTTTCCAGAAAGTATTTATACAAAATCTTTCCTTATATAAAACTGTCTTTTTTATTAATCTTACCAATTTTTAAGTCATCAGTCAGACTTTCTTTCGTAAGATTCAACAGTTCTTTGCCATCAATGTTGTTCATCTTGAAAATACTAACAAGGTCTTTTAAACCTTGTGCACAAAGCCATAATGAAACTTCTTCCTCTGACCAATCTTCAATAAATAGCTTTGGTTCATCTTCTGGCCTACCTGCTTGAGAAACCATGAGGAAAAAAGCAAATAAAATATGTATAATTTAAAATGCATTTCCTTAAAAATTTTTTATTTACTTCACAAAGTTATTTAAATTTCCTTAACTTTTCATTCCATTATTTAATACCTTTCAGAAGATTCAAAAATGAAATATTTTTCCTTGTACCTTTTCTTTTCATATGATACATGTGTTTTCTATTTTAAGACTGAACAAGATGTTCTATTTGCCCTCTTGTTTGTGTATCAGTATGGAGGTCTGTATAACTGACAAAAAAAGGAATCAGTAAGTTAGCTGCTCCTGCTGCCTGGAGTGGCCAAAATGAAGTCAAGAAAATATGTTATTTCTATTCTCTCTGTAAACTGTTTATTCTTAAGCAGAGAATTCTATAAAAATTATTGAAATAGAGATTGTGAGAAAATATTTAGACAAACACGCACACAATCAGACACCAAAGGCACTTTCCTACAGTTTTAATGTACTTCTAGCTATTAATCCTGACCTCTCTGAAAGGATTTTAAAAATTATAATAAATTTGTATTTCATGCTTTATATTAAGGAAAGCAATTTGAACAATTTGTCACAAGATTTACTGTGTTCTCAAACTAAATGCTGAAAGGGGTGAGCTAGGTTAGAGATAATATCCCAACTAACCTTGACAATATACTTCCAGCTCAAATTGCCAGATGTTCACTGTTTTGTCCATTGACCCAGTAGCAAGTAAAAGAATATTGGGTGCAAAGGCACAGGTTGTAACATACCTGGGAAAGAAAAAGAACTAGGGAATTTAATATCATATGTTTTCTAAATAAGAATTTTTCTTGAATAATATTTGTAAAAAGTGATGTTAAGGTCACACCTGGTATGATGAGTCAAAGTGTGAAGTATGCTCCCACTATTCTGAAAAATGGAAAGAAAAAAAAATTCTTACGATTGTATAGGCAAGAAGAAATTTGTTATTTTTTTCCCCTGAATTTAAGTTTGCTGCACATAGGTTATGTCTGTGTTCTATATGGCATTTATCTTTGATATTAATGATAAAGAAAAATAATTAAGAAAAATAATGAAACAGTAGGTCCCAATACTAAAATTTGCCAGCTATCTGTATATTCTTTCAAAATCAACATTTCTAAGGCATATAGGTGGTAAGGTGGATAGAGCATTGGGCTTGGAGTCAGGAAACCCTAAGTTCAAATCTGGCCTCTAATACTTAACAGACAAATACTGTATAACTCTGAACAAGTTAGTTAACCTTTATTTGCCTCAGTTTCCTCATCTATAAAATGGAGATAATAATACCACCTGCTACTCTGGATTTTGGTGAGGATCAAATGACAGAATAATTGTAAAGTACTTAGAACAGTACCTGGTACATGGTGAGTCCTATATAAATGTTAGCTAATCATCATCATCATCATCACAACCTTCACCATTTCTGTTCACCAAACATTAGGACTCATCAGATCCTTTGATTTTTATGACTCCTTATCTCCTTGATTTTAGTGACTTGTGCCTTCATTTCATATGCCAACACAGCAATGTCAACATGAGTTTAAGATTATAAGCTAATGCGATCATGTAGACCAGATTTAAACTCATATCTCTTCTGATCCCAAGTACAGCACTCTTTCTATTATACCACATTAATTAAAAACAAAAATAAAGGCATTTAGGAGATACAAAACAAGGACAGGCAACTGAAAATTTATTTAACAAGTGGTGTGGTCATATAAGAATGGTAAATTTCATAACTAGGAAAGACTGGTAATAACAATTAAGCACAAAGAAAAAGGTGGTGGGCTCCCCAGAACAGATCCTGGAACAGTAGAGCCAGCAGAAAGATGTAGCAGAGCAGTCTTTGGATTCAGAAGACTTAGACAGGCAGGCAAATAAGGTCCATATCGCTCAAGTAAAAGGGGAGCACATTTCCAGGATAGGAAGCAGTCCCAGAAAGTCCATGGCAGACTCTACCTCAACAAACCAGCAGGAGATCCTGAGCCCCCGAGTGGTGGAGCAGGCAAATGCCAACACCAGAACTCCCCCACAACTTAGCACCTCCAGGGAAACTAGAAGACTCCAGCTCAGAGAACTACCACATGTGCCAGCGCAGCCCCAGGCAGAAAGGCATCCTCCAGCAGCTGACCTCCCAGTGCTTCAGCACAGCCCTGGGTGGCCAGGCATCTTCCAGCAGCCAGACATCCCCATACTTCAGCACAGTCCCAGGGAAACTCAGAAAAACATCTGGTCTCAGCACATGCCAAACACCACCATTAAGATCCTAGCTCTGCATCAGGTAAGCTGCCAGATACCTATAGCCTCCAGCAGCCAGCACTTGAGGCCCTAGGGAACAAAGCTAGTGACCAGGCCCCTGAACAAAAGCACAAGAAGCTTGGGACAGTGCCCCCTGTGCTCCAGCAGGAGAGCTCAACTTTAAAGGCCATAAAATAGGCCTAAAAATGAGTAAGAAGTAAAAACAAACACTGACTATAGACTCTTTCTATGAGGACAGGGAAGATCAAAACACAAACTCAGAAGTGGTCAACATTGTCAATATATCCACACCTGAAACCTCAAAGGGGAATATGAACTGGTCTCAAGCCTAAAAAAAACCACCTTGGAAGAGCTCAAGAAGGATTTTAAAAGTCAAATAAGAGAGGTAGAAGAAAAACTGGAAAAAGAAATAAGAGGTATGGAAGAGAGAGTCAACAGCATGGAAAAGGAAGGACAAAAATTGAACATAGAAAACAATTCCTTAAAAAATACAATTGGCCAGATGGAAAAAAAAATCACTGAAGAAAATAACTCCTTAAAAAGTAGATTTGGCCAAATGGAAAAGGAGGTACAAAAACTCACTGAAGAGAAGAACTCCCTAAAAAGTAGAATTGGCCAAATGGAAAAGGAGGTACAAAAGCTAAGTGAAGATAACAATTCCTTAAAATTAGAATTGGGCAAATGGGAGCTGATAACTATGAGACATCAAGAATCAGTCAAATTCAAAAGAATGAAGAAATAGAAGAAAATGTAAAATACATCACTGGAGAAACAACTGACCTGGAAAACAGATCCAGGAGAGATAATTTAAGAATAATTGGTCTACCTGAAAGCTACAATAAAAAAAAATGAGCCTGTTTACAAGAAACATATCTGAAGCAGAGCAATACACACAGAGTAAAGGTTAAAGGCTGGAGCAGAATATATTACGCTTCAGTTGAAGTAAAAAAAAAAAAGCAGGAGTAGCAATCCTGATTTCAGACAAAGTAAAAACAAAAATAGATCTAATTAAAAGAGATGAAGAAGGAAATTATGTCTTGCTAAAAGGCACTTATAGGATGCAGCCCAAGAAGTTGTGAGGGGAAAATTTTATATCTCTAAATACTTACATAATAAAATAGAGAAAGAAGAGATCAATGAATTGGGCATGCAACTAAAAAAGCTAGAAAAAGAACAAATTAAAAATCCCTAATTAAACACCAAATTAGAAATACTGAAAACCAAAGAAGAGATTAATAAAACTGAAATTAAGAAAACTATTGGACTAATAAATAAAACTAAGAGCCAGTTTTATGAAAAAGCCAATAAAACAGATAAACCTTTGGTTAATTTAATTAAAAAAAAAGAAAGAAGAAAACCAAATTACCAGTATCAAAAATGAAAAGGGTGAGTTCACCACCAATGAAGACAAAATTAAAACAATAATTAGGAACTATTTTGCCCAACTGTATGCCAATAAATCTGACAATCTATGTGAAATGGATGAATATTTACAAAAATATAAATTGCCCAGATTAACAGAAGAGGAAATAAAATACTCAAAATGACCCCATTTCAGAAAAAGAAATTGAACAAACCATCAATGAACTCCCTAAGAAAAAACTCTCTAGAGCCAGATAGATTTACAAGTGAATTCTACCAAACATTTAAAGAACAATTGATTCCAATACTATGTAAACTATATGGAAAAACAGGCAAAGAAGGAGTCCTATCAAATTCTTTTTGTGAGACAAATATGGTGCTGATACCTAAACCAGGAAGAGCCAAAACAGAGAAAGAAAATTATAGACCAATATCCCTGATGAATACAGATGCAAAAAATTTAAATAAAATATTAGTGAAGAGATTACAGCAATTTACCACAAGGATAAAACGCCACCACATGGGATTTATACCAGTAATGCAGGGCTGGCTCAATATTAAGAAAACTATCAGCATAACAGACCATATTAACAACAAAAATAACAAATCATATGATTATCTCAATAGATGCAGAAAAAGCTTTTGACAAAATATAACACCCATTCCTATTAAAAACACTAGAGAGCATAGGAATAAATGGAGTCTTCCTTAAAATAAGTAGCATCTACCTAAAACCATCAGTAAGCATTATAAGTAATAGGAATAAGCTAGAAGCATTTCCAATAAGATTGGGGGTGAAACAAGGATGTCCATTATCACCACTGTTGTTCAATATTGTACTAGAAATGTTAGTTTTAGCAATAAGAGAAGAAAAAGAAATTGAAGGTATTAGAATAGCAAAGAAGAAATAAAGCTATCACTCTTTGCAGATGATATGATGATATACTTAGAGAATCCTAGAGAATCAACTAAATACTTGAAATAATTAACTTTAGTAAAGTTGCAGGATATAAAATAAGCCCACATAAATCATCAGCATTTCTATATATTACTAACAATGCCCAGCAGCAAGAGATAGAGAAATTCCACTTAAAGTAACTGGAGACAATATAAAATATTTGAGAGTCTACCTGCTGAGACAAACCTAGAAACTATATGAACACAATTACAAAACACTTTTCACACAAATAAAGTCAGATCTAAATAATTGGAAAAATATCAGTTGCTCATGGGTAGGCCAAGCTAACATAATAAAAATGACACTTCTACCTAAGTTAATTTACTTATTCAGTGCCATACCAATCAAGCTGCCAAAAATTATTTTACAGAGCTAGAAAAAATAGTAACAAAATTCATCTGGAAGAACAAAAGGTCCAGGATATCAAGGAAATTAATGAAAAAGGAATGCAAAAGAAGGTGGCCTAGCCATACCAGATCTAAAACTGTATCATAAAGCAGCAATCATCAAAACTACTTGGTACTGGCTAAGAAGCAGAGTAGTGGATCAGTGGAACAGGTTGGGTACACAAGACACAGTAGTCAATGACTATAGTAATCTATTGTTTGATAAAACCCAAAGACTCCAGCTTCTGAGATAAGAACTCATAATCTGACAAAAACTGCTGGGAAAACTGGAAAACAGTATGGCAGAAACTAGGCATAGACAAACATCTTCCACCATACACCAAGATAAGGTCAAAATGGATAGACATAAAGGGTAAAACTATAAGCAAATTAGGAGAGCAAGGAATAGTACCTGCCAGATCTACGGAGAAGGCAGGAATTTATGACCAAACAAGAGATGGAGAATATTACGAAATGCAAAATGGATAATTTTGATTACATTTAGTTAAAATGGTTTTGCACAAAGCCAGTGCAACCAAGATTAGAAGGTAAGCAGAAAGATGGGAAACAATTTTTACAGCAAATGTCTCTGATAAAGGCCTTATTTCTAAAATATATAGGCAACTGAGTCGAATCTATAAGAATATAAGTCATTCCCCAATTGAAAGGTGGTCAAAAGATATGAATAGACAGTTTTCAGATGAAGAAATTAAAGCTAACTACAGTCATATGAAAAATTGCTCTGAATCACTACTGACTAGAGAAATGCAAATTAAAACAACTCTGCGGTACCACATCACAACTATCAGATTGGCTAACTTGACAAAACAAGAAAATGATAAATGTTGGAGATGTGGGAAAATCAGAACACTAATGTATTGTTGGTGGAGTTGTGAACTGATCCAACCATTCTGGAGAACAAT